GAATTAAACAAGACACTCGTTACAACCTAAGACCTTATTCTGTTCTACTATCTTTACGCATTTCATTATCTCCTTTCCTCTCGCTCTAATAGTAGAGGTGATTTATGTGAGAGAGGCGAATAGAGTCAATGTGGAAATGATTTTGAAGAGTAGACCCTCTTCGCTAGGCGGGCGGGATTGAGTGCAATCCACCGCAAGCATCTGTGACAGAGTCTTACTACTTATGTGTTAGGATAGAACACACAGGTAAAATATGCAAAAAATAAATTTCATGAGCTAATAAGCTGAGAAAGAAGATTAACAAATAACTATATTAATCCAACCAACTCTGAAAAACCTGAAACAGCGTTAGAAATGCATGTGTTTGTATCTATTGACTACGGGTACCTATACTAGTAAATGATTAAAATTTAACCTTTTTGTTCAATTAATTCACGCCCGTGCTCGCAACTTACGCTTGTATTCACAAACGATGCTTAAATGAAGCAACAAATCGAACGCACAGCGTTGAATAGAGCTCTATGATTGGTTCGTGTGTGAGCCTGTGCGCGTCCACGCGCACTGTGAGACCTCATAGTGATGTTTGTGAATACGATCATTAGACAATATTTAATTTAGGTAATAGAAGTTTTCAGTATTATTGACTGTTCATTGCAGCTGCAGCAAGGCCAAGTCTACAGAAAGCCCCCAGTACTAAGACAAATTAATATGAAAAAGTATAAAATATTTCAAGAAAACCTTTTTCATCTCACTCTAGTGAGTACCGATCCTAACACATTCGTTAGTGCGGCGCACTTTAATCTCGTAGGATGAGTATTTACATGGGTAATAAGACGAACAGTCGACTGCGGTGAACGAATTACAGACACGAACCTCTTATGTAGCTAGTTAAGTAAACAGAATACATAGTTTTTCTATTACTGGCACAGACAGCTTGGATTTACCTATAGGCTTTTAAAAAGAACGCACTTTTTTGCTAGCGATGTAATCTTAGAATACAAATAAGCGCTTTAAGATGCAGCTTTTTAGTGCTTTAAGGCTGACGTTTAACAGAAGCTTGGTTTTAAGGATTTCGCCTTAACCAACCGAATGTCGAGATTATTTAAAATGGTAAGAAATTGTGCCTCGTTCCGATCATAAGGCATACGAAAGGTTAAGAGATAAGTTTGTTTAAAGCCTTAAGTAAAAATCTTATCAACATTCTGCTTATCGGCAGCAAAATCAGTTTACGTCATAAAATAAACCCAAAAACAATTACCTGTACAACGTAAACGCGCTTAACAGGCAAACCGCCGATTGTGTTGTGCAGAACGCGGGATAAATGGGACCCAACGCAATTTGTTCAGTGGAGTATGCTCCACGACTGTTCCCAGTTACGGAACTGCGGGTGGCGTGTTGTCACACCGTAGTGTAACACTATTTCTCAAATTCGCTTATTTATGCTCGGACTGCATTCGTAAGGAAAATTTGGAGATTCAATAATCTTTTTTCAAGCCTCTTTCTCTTTTCCACCGCTGCATCTCCTATACCTAAAGCCAAGCCAAGATAGACTGCCAATAAACCCCACCCATGAAGGCTAGGTTGACCTCTGGGAAAAATTTAAGAATATCAATAGACCCGCAACAAAATCAAGCAGAAAAAAATATAAATAGGTCCTCCTATAATTTCAAACGTAAAAAGCATATTTAATTATTTCTTTGCAAATTAATTATGCAGTTTTTTTCTCTTTTCTCTTTGGTGCACTTTTTAGAGTCAAGTATTTTTTTTACCCGACTGCTCCAGAAGGAAGCTCTGGTTCATTTTTTACACTACTATTTTCGTTAATAACTAATTTCTTTTTCAGTTTGTCTTTACCATCATTTCCATATTTTTTATCGTCACAAAAATTGTGATTCTAATATTCAAGATGGTTACACCACTGTATGCACCAAAGACACAAAATACAGTGCATTTTACAGCATTTTCGCGGAGTTTACCAAAACGATACAAATATTTCTTTGTCCCATTGTTCAGATATCACACTAGAGCTTTGCCAAACAGATTTTATGACGGCCAACGTCGTTATTTTAGGTTTAGTAAAATCCCTAAAATACGTAGGTACTAAGCATAAGGATTATTTCTGATAAAACAATTTGATTGAATTAATGGCATATACTTAAACCATTGTCTAGATTATGTAGAATTTTAGAGTGATTTTAGTTTGATTGTGATTCTGATTAAGCACATTATACACAGTAGATCATATAATATAATAAATATTCATATAATAAATATACTGTGCATTATTATACCCGTAATTTGCACTTAGGTATTTGACGACTGTACTATTGGGACGTGTAAAAGTGTTTTCCCTACTTACAGAAAATAAACGAATTTTATTGATGTTACTAAAAACATTCCACAAATGGCTAGTCTTGCGTTTTAGAATACCTAGGTTTTAATTAATTATTTCTTAGAGATATTAACCTAATATCACACCGAATAACTTTGACTAACTTATTAATCTTCATTCAGACCCAATCTCAAGACTCGTCTAATCCGGGAGAAGGCACTCATAACCAAATTAACTTACTGTTTAATTAAACAGAAAATATCTAATGGCAAATAAGGAATTACCACGTTGTGGTGCAAGTCAATAGCTCAGGGGTGGCCAACCGGTCAGTCGCAATCGACCGGTCGATCACGAATATTAGTCCAGTCGATCGTGGCAAGGCAAATAATACTACATGATTGTGTACTAACTATGCTGTTTCATTTAAGATTTCAAGAAGTATGTAAGTGATAGATCGCCCAGGGTTTCGTTAGTAAACAGTAGATCTTATGTCTAATCAAGTTGGCCACCCCTGCAATAGCTGATCACTACAAAAGTAGTTAAATAAGTATGCTTCTTTTTTTAAATTTAGATTTTCTTTAGATATTTGCTCGTTGTAGCCCTTGTCTATTGTAACTGTGTTAGGTCCATAGAGTGCAACTTTTAATGCTCGTTAATGAATTTACACGAGACCAACCAACCAACTTGGCTTCATGGAAATCACACCACCTAGTATAATAATATGTGTTACCTAGCAGTAAGATTAATTTTCGATCCAATGCCACGATAAGTTTGGCGAACACCTAAATCCATAAATACCATTTTCATCTCAGGTAAAATCCCCTTTTAAATTAAAATAATAATATCATCTTCTCTCTCATAACTTGAGCCCAGTCATACTTCGTCTGCTTCACCATCGGACTTAATTCGAGCCTCATTGCTGGCAAATTAATAAGAAGACTGCAACGACTCTTCAAATATAGGGAAACTCTATTAACATCTTGATTAGATCTTGGGAACTCCAGTGTAGAGAATTTATAATCTTACAATTCCCAAGGAAGTATTTTAGGAGATTGGTGTGAAGTAAATTCTGATGCAGCTTACTAATATTATGAATGCGAATTTTAGTTTTATGTATCTGTTACATTATGCTATGTCGATTTTTGTAAGGAGAACCCAACTTTCTTATGTTAGCAATTTAAAACGCATTTTACTGGACATACGAGTAAAAATGTGTTTGTTGTGTAAAATGAGCGCGCGCGCTTGTAGGGTTTTTCTGTGACGAATCAAAATCTACGCGCAGTACCTATAAAATCTACGTAGTAATAATATCGCTACCACTAAAAACGACAAAATCTCTTTTTTAGTCTAAATCCAAACTAACCACTAAGATACTTACTCAAGCAATTATACTTACAACAAATCCAAAACTTCATAAAAAAGATCTTACTGCTATAAATATCCGCATTTAAAAAACTCTAACTGGCACTTCTAAGAAACAGTATCAGCCAAATTGGAACGTTTCATAACCGTTCCAATTGTCGGAACAGTCAGTCTATATTTATCCGCTTTAATTTCAATGAGCAAAAAAATAAATATTTCCACCCAAATTGCCGATGTAAAGGCACCTATAAAGAGGCTTTCTCATCTCTGGAGCGTATAAAAAGGCGATAATAGCAAGATATTATTTGGGTAAGACATTCAAACGCAAATTATACTAAATTGTTTTACCTCGAGGAAGCGAATTAGATTCCATAAAACCAAACCCTTGGGCGTTACAATAACTTAACACTTGGAAGAAATATTAGTTTACTCATTACAATCTATAGGTTTTTCAAACAATCAACAAGGTTTTTGAAGGACAAAGAATATACCATCAGCTTCTAAAAGTCCACAGCTGGGCATAAATTTCCCGCGTAGATCGCCATAGTGAACTTCTGTAGCTAAAAATTGCTGTAAAACTTCAACGACAACAAAACACTGAGTTGTCACGTGTATAGTTCCAAAATACTGGACTGTCCTGTCGATGACATTGACAGTGGGGCGCCACCGTCAATACCGGATCGCTGGTTCAGATTTTTGCCATGTTGGAAACCATATAGTTGAACGATGGTAGCGCCCCCCTGTCATTGAGTTTGGCGGGACAGTTCAGCGTGGGTCATCTATACACGATCCTATCGAGTAATCGTTCTATCAAAATGACCCTTGTGAATACGGATTTAGAACTGTTTTTCAATGGGACGACTTCTAAACGTCAGCGAGACTTTGACTGTCAAAATACGTGAATTAGGCCACTGGGCAGTTTTACTTCAACGACTCTATGCAACCCAATTAACATCAATGTAAGAAGCGTGTATTTATACTTATTATCTAACTTATTTCTTACTTCTATGTGAATAGTCACGCCATTCAAAAGAATCTGCTTATCTGTGCCTATAATCTATATATATAAAAATGAAACCCGTTTCGCGTTGTCACGGCATCACGTGTGAACGGCTGAACCGATTTCGATAATTCTTTTTTTTAAATGTTTGTGGAAGTCCAAGGATGGTTCTTACGGAAAAAAATATTAAGAAAATCTCTACGCTAAGGCGGTACGAAGTTCGCCGGGTCAGCTAGTTTGGGATAAAAAGATACGGAAAATTTTGGGATAAAAAAGCTACCCAAAATAAAACCAAAATTGAATAATTTAAACGTTTTTACTCTTCATAAGTTCCTTCTTTAGCTGCTTAGCTTTAGCGTACAGTTCGTGTCTTACTTCAGGGTACGCTTCTAACAGGTCTTGCCAGGTGTTGAGTCGCAGGAAGACCAGATCCACTACCTGGTGGGATATGACGTCATTGGATATAACATGCATAGCAGTTTGAACAGCAGGACTTGGCTGAGTTGCACGACCTTAACTTTGACACGTCAAGGTCTGTGAAACTCTACACAAAAACAACGGTTAAAGTTAAAGTTAAGTGCAATACAACCTTCGTTATTAGAAAGAAAGAGCAGCAGAGTACAGATTGCCAAAGTGTATTTTCATGTATTAATGTGTATTCTTTTGTGAACAATTAAAAAAAAGCCAGAAGAACTCTCAAAATCGATCAAATCTAATAAAGCATTTAAAAAATAATCTACATCAGTAGCCCAAAGATGCCCGACGCGATAAGCGGTTATCTCGCCGTTTTATCGATTTTGCTCATACATTTTGACGTCGATAAAAGTTATCACGGTGCGCATCTTAAGCTGTGAACTTTGTAAGAAAAACTTACAGTTCTCGTGTAGTAGCTGAACTGGTAGGGAACGTTCGGGAACATTCCGGGAATCAGTCCGAAGTATCCATTGGTGCTCAGCAGTGACATAAATTTCTTCTCTCCGCTGAAATTACAAGAATTTGAATTTTAGTTATAACAAAGGCGCTATCAAAGCAAAATTGAATCTATTACAAAGTAAGCTACCGTGAGCTCACTTTATTACGAAATCTATAAGTTTACGATCCTAATAAATTATAAATTGCGAAAGTTTGTATGTTTGTTACTTTCACACAAAAACTACTAAACGGATCTTGGTGAACTTTACAGTATTGTTGTATAATAATAATAATGGTATATCTATTTATAACGATCTGGGACAAGCTAAAATTCACGCGGGCGAAGCTGTGGGCAAAAGCTGGTCTTGAATAGGATACCAACAAAAATGAAAGATAGGTACGTTACTTTGAATCAGTGTACCACTTCTCTACTTCTCCTTCGTGTATAAAATACATACACGGAAAAATATCGCCCTCTTGAACCATACATTTACCTGAAAAAAAAAATATAATTTTTATTTTTTAAACTCTTAAATTAAATCCCAAGCCCATAGATTTTCACAATAATTAACTTTGACACCAAGCAATAAAAAAATGAAATAACATGCAGATCAGGGAAATAATTCATTCTCTGTTTTGGTAGATTCTATTTATTTCTTATCTACAACAATTACAATGTATCTTAGAGCAGACCATAACCCGCTAAGGAGGACCGGTGGACCTGTTCTACCAGGGCCGCGAGGAGAAAACCTCTATAAAAAACAACTGCAGTAGGATATTGGGGGTCCTCTATAAGCCAGAATGGATCGCTTGACAGCGAGCTGAAGCCTGAGACGGTCTGTCTAAGTTAGGACAATAACTAGGACGAAAACTATACATACTTCAATGATGGCTGACTCTATACATAACAGAAATAAAACATGACTTACTTGACTTATGGTCCTATGTCCCCTAGATGGGGCAGAGGGTGTCCACAACAGTCCACAACTGACTCTATACATAACAGAAATAAAACATAAACATTGTAAATACCAACCAGGGAATAAAACGACCCTCTGGAACCTGGCGACCAGTTGCCGTGAGAAGTAATGAGGCATGTTCTTGAAGAGAGAGGGCATCTTCAGGTGATGCATGTACAAGGCGCTGAGCAAGTCTTCGCGGAGGCACTGGGGCGCTTGATGAGCTAACTCGGGGAGCCAGTTACCTGTTAGATAAATTATACGTGTATCGCTTAACTCGGTCAGTGCCTGAGATATGGTAGCGGCAAGGAAGACGGGAGGGTTGTCGCGGAAGTATAAGGCTACGGCCGGATACTCACGACACCCCCACTCGGGCGATGACGGAACGCTGGGGAGGTTTTAGAGGGTATACCCCGTCTTTTTCAGGACGGAGCAGCACCCTTTTCAGGGCGCCGGGAGTCCCACACACCACCCTGTCCCCCGACAGTGGTGACGGTGCGCAAAGAATTTCCTCCGCGACAAAATAAAAAGGGAAACGGGAGGGTGTCTTTGTAACGTCAAATGTCAGCGAGACTTCAGATTTCCTTCAGATTTATGTGCTCTGTCACGTCATAATATGTCAATGTCACCCCTCCCGTGCCGCTCCCATACCTCAGGCACGGTAACAATATCATACAGTATTGTAACTTCATATAAACAGACGAAACGAGAACTTTCTTTCGAAATTCAAATCTCGGTATGCGCTCGGTATGCAAAAGTCGGGGGTGTCGCGAATGTGCCGAATGGACGTCGGTGGCCAAGCTGTGGGCCAAGTGTTAAAATGACAAAACTGATTGAATTTGAATGACCGTCATTTACGGTCAAATTGGTAAAAAAAACTAGTCAAATTGTTATTTTCAGTCAGTTTCATTTGAAATGAAAATGATGTTGTATTAAACCAGCTTATTTTTCCCACGACTTCAACGACGAATTAAAGTAACAGATCATTATGATTATTAAAGTTTCAAAATGATTTAAGTAGTTTTTACTAAATTAAATCTACTAAGTAATCACAAAACAACACACATTTTTAACCTATTCCATTCACAAAGTATTTTGTTTGTCTAACTAAATAAAAAATACAATTACAAAACTAGATATAAATTTTAAGTAGGCAGATGTAATCAAACTGGGTACTGTAGGTGGGCAGCCCTATCGCATGTTGTCAAACTGTGACATACCGCGCGACTGTTGACATTTATTTAAAAAATATGGCCGAGTTGGAATACTGTATAGATAATATTACCGTGCCTCAGGGACTGACTAACTGATATAAAATTTTACTGACTTACTTACTGACTGACTGTGTTAAGCGCTAGACCTATAGCCACATATTTTGAACCAGCTTTTACTGTTTGACGTCTAAAAACCGGGATAAAAATAAATATTTACCTGAAGAACAGAATTCAATCGAGTCTATTTTGCAAGTTTCTCTTAATTTAAAAAAAATCTATGACTAAAAAGAAGAGACTAAAGAACTAAAAACTAAACTACAGAACTTAAGGGGCCGTCCATAAATTACGTCATCGATTTTTTCAGATTTTAGACCCCCCCCCCCTACAATCATCCTATCGTCATTTCTTAATGACCCCCCCCCCTCTCCCAAAATTGACGTCATTACCAGTTTCACGAAATTAAAACATTTTTTTAATAGATAGAGTGATTCTTAAGGAAGGTTTATACAGTGTGAGTCACGTTAAAGTGTACATATGAAAATAGACGAAACTAGACCTATTTNGGCCCCTAAGTTCTTGAGAAGGTACACAGGATGATTACGTTGAAATCAAGATTATATCAATCAGACTATTTAAAACAAGTTTCAACAGTGTAGCTCTTATAGTTTTGAAAAAAGTTGCTGTGACATACGGACGGATAGACAGACTTGACGAAGGGTTCCGTTTTTCGCCATTTGGCTACGGAACCCTAAAACACTACTAACCTCTTTGCCTTTCCCACAGTTGTCTGGTATACTCTTGAATGTTCCTCAACAGGGTTGGAGACAGACCACTATGATGGAGGTAAGTGCTCAAATTGTTCACGCCATAGTCATACTGGTACAGTTCTCGAAACTTCGTGTAAACGGCGGTTATGGCCAGGCTTACGAGCCATAGATCCATAAGGAGAATAAAGGAGTTAATGAACACCTTGTAGTATGTCTCCTTTATTGTTAGAACCACCACCTATAAAATAAAGTAATATACAATGTTATGTTTCAGTAGTAGCATTTAAACGAACAGAATAAATACAAAGGCTGGGTTGCACCATCTTACTTTACTGTGCTTTAAATAAGACAAACGTGAAATATCTGTCAAACTCCGTACAAAATGCACCGGTTATCGTTGTGGTGCGTCCACATTAAGCGTACGGGCTCGCGTGCCACGCTGGTCGGTCATCCTGCTTACCCTGCTCTTGAGTGAGTAGAATGTCGAGTTTGCCGCGCGAGCCCGTTCGCCCAGTGTGGACGCACCATTATAGTTACGGTCAAAGTTAGGTGGTGCAACTCAGCCTTACACTTTTATGCAGACTCAAAAGCGGTTATGCCCAAAAATCAAATGAAAATATGAGAAACAAAGATATAATATATTTAATATATTTAAAAAAATAGATTTTCCACGTTAGACAAAGACACTTTCTTTAGACATTATCTCTGAAGTCGATTCACTGCAGCTTTTTGTACTATTACTTCTATTCTACTAATAATATTATCTACATTTTTTTTACTTGCTCTACAAATGCTCGTATGATCATTATCATTAAAATAACTCAAATGTTCCGAATCCCTAACTCTAGGACTAGGTACTGGTAGGTAACTAACCGTATCCAAAACCGTGTGAGTTTGCAGTAGAGTGACATACATGAAGGCCACCACATAGTCGTGCTGCCATCGGCGGGGCACGACAAACGATATCTTATACGCATTGTTCACTTTGAAGTACATCGACATCCGTGAACATCCTGTAGGTGAAGAACCAAGTGTTTGAACAAGAACTTTATTTCAGGTAGGTCCATAAAAATTAAGGCTGAGGTCCCGTATAAACGCAGTAGGCTGCGTGTCACGCCGTATATAGGCCGCATCACAATGCTTACTATAGAAATGTACTGTTGTGGTTGGACTCTTCTAGACGATGACATCGGCGTATGGTGTGGATGACGTCAGAAACCATTTACAGCGTTTAGGAGACCGTGACCTAAGGTGACAGAATTTTTAGGAGGCCAAACAGAACACAACATCGCTCGCCACCAATCTACAGCTTGTGACCACGATTACAGCAATACAGATGAAACGTCAAACTGTCATCATCATCATCGGTTCATTTAGTATCCACTGCATGAGGGTACCCTTTCCAATATACCGGTGGCAGGTGAAGGATTTGGCATAAGCCTCCAAAACTACATAAGATGCACTGCGTAATAAATGTCGCATTTGAGTCCCTTCACTCACAGTTTTAATTTGTTTGATAAAATCTTATAAAGTTATCACCGTCATGTCTTTGTTTCACTGATATCCATTCATCGCGGTCTATGCTCGCATTGTAAGAAGGGGGCAGCTCCAAAATCGGCACCGGGAATGGCTCACCAGGACCTGAAGTAAATAATTATAACACACAGTACCTAAATAATTGATAATTAGTGCCTTTGTAATGCGCATTTCAGCATGCGTGCGGGTTTCATTATTTCATACATGTTTTTCCTATTATTCGGAGTGCGGGCACACAATACGAAATCTTTGTCCTGCGTGTACGGTGCAACCTGCAACGTGATATGACGTGCCGAAATCCGCAACACAGAAAAAAGGGACTTAATTATTCTATACACCGACTCGTAACATTAAATAAAAGAAAACGAATAGCAAAATATGTACAATGAAACTCTCCACGATATCTTTCTACATTGTTTAAAAAATAAAGTCACCTCTACGACAAGCCACGTAAATCCAGCCGCAGACCATGGCGTGGATCAAGAGAATCACAATAATGAACTTCATTAGAATCGGAGTCACTTTACTCTGAAACAAATACGCATCACAGAGCCAAACAATACGAATTAGAAACTACATTATTCTTGTGCACAAAGTTATTTTGAAATTTGTTTATTTAAACATTAAATTGCACACAAAAGTCAAAAAACAGCGTATTGCCATATAGCATTTTTTTCCAGTTAACCTTTGGGCTAAATAGAAATATAGAGAAAGCGTATTATAGCATGGTGTTTTGCATTCATTGGGTCTTGACTTGATACAACAATCATAAACCAAGAGTTCTCTGACTTATCACCATTACCTTACCAATGATTCTGAAGTACCTTCTTAAACCTAATTAGTTCTCAATAAAACCAGATATTTTGAATTCGTGGCATAAACTGTCTGATTCGTCGTGTATTTCTCATTTGAGGAACTACACCAGTTACAGTGGCTACACCAGTTACAGTGTAACTGAAATTGTCAGTAAAATGTTTGCCAAAACCTTACCACAAACGGAAACACCCTTTTTCTCTAGTACAAGACTTCATGGAGCAAGTCGTAAATATAAAAAGGCCACAAAACAGCTGCTAAGCAAATTACTGTTCCCGTAACTGCTTTCGTTTATTTTAGTGGCACCTAAAGCTTGCCTAATAAAATAACGAGAGTTTTTGAATTTATTTTCGAAACTGAGAAAAATCTTTTATTTAAATGCATTATTTTGAGAGCTGCCAGACATAGCGTCTGCGGTCAGCGCATAAGAATTATAAATGAGAATTCGGACGTTTCTCTCGGTTTATTTTCGGCTTTTGTTTAGCATTCTGCATAATGAAATTGGTGTAGAATTATTGACTTCTATAAAAATGTGTGATCTGAAAGTTTAAGACGGCGTAAGACGAAACGTAGGTAATTTTTAATATTTCGGGGCAGGAACATTTGTGTTTTCGACTAATAGTTTTATACTCGCACACACAACACATTAAAATCAACATTCTACCTTCTTATTTATTATTATTTGTATCTCTCCTGTGGATAAACACGGCGCGGAGACCGGTCCTTTTGGAAGGCGTTCATGGGGATACAGATCCGAATCAGATCAGAACGATAATGTGGGATGTTGGAACCATCAGGCATTTCTTCAGATGCCCTCAAAACTCATACCATTATCACACAATAAGACCATTTCAATTTTGAAATTTCATAAGTCTTGAATCAATTATTATTATTATTAAAAGCTCACCTTAAAACTGGTGCAGAAATGGACATGAAACTCATACAGCAGCCGAAGTCTCAGCAGCCTGGCAAGTTGGTAGGCCCAGTTGCCGTTGGCCAGGGTTACCATGGGCACGATCAGAGATATGGCATCGACGTAGAACCCCCAGTAGAGTAGTAACCGATGTGCTAGACGCCTCTTGACGAGAGCATCGCCGACTACCACTAGCTCTACCTGTAATTCTCGGGAAATATTAATAACTATTTTAAAAAACGCTATCTGTTGAGCAAAAATTTTGCAGTTCATGTTGTAGAGACTCAGATTCCGCGGTCTGTAATCAACTGAGTACTTATCTAAAATTATACATTACTATACCATAAACGGATAAAATGCCAAATGAGATGGGATTTTAAATAGCGAATCACTACCAAGATAAATGAAGAACATTGATAACAAATGTACAGGAAAAACAGAGAGTAAATATTATTTTGATAACTAGTAAAACATACCGTAAAGAACTCTGAAATAATATGAGCGAGGTGCAATATATCAATCGCTGAGAGACTCCAGTAGATGTCCCGTCGTATATCCTCAGGCACAAAGCTGAGCAGGAAAACCAGAACAGCCGAGACAAAGGGAGCTATCATCCACGCAAGGAACAGCCATCTTGTGTACCAGTTCCTGCCGCGAGCTTCTACCGGCTCTTTCATGAACTGCAAGAAATTTGAAGTAAAGTGACACTTTACGGGACTCTTTCCCATTATTTGCCACCATAATTCTAGAAGAGACAGACTCTAGATACGAAGAAGGCTGGTTCCAGCCCTGGTCACTGGACTATTGTGGTGAGCCCACTCGTAACTCGTAACACAAGCATATTATTATTAACTAAGTATGTATTACAAGGGATCATCGGATTTTTTTTTGCTATAGTTAAATATGATATCAAATAGGACAAACTCCATAATGTACACAAATCAACACGCGTAACATCGGGAAGTATTTTCAAGACCATTCCATTATTACAATAAGATCGTTTAAATTTTGAGATTTCGCAAGTCTTGATTCACTTAACTACTCTTGAATTTTATTAATGAAACGAGTGTTATAATAATGAAACATTTAAAGGGATTAAAACAACATAAAATAAAATAATTTACGAGGAAACATCTTGCAAAACAAACCATGAAATGAAAACGAACCATCCATTTCGTTATATTGAAACATTTTAATTGCATCGTTACGTTCGTTCTTGGCACTTTATATTTTTATAGACGTTTACTTACTGGTAACTTTATCGTTTTGCGTCCTCGCAATATGTACTCTATGGTGTTGTGAGGATTCTCGTGAACTTGTTTTTTGACTGCCATAAAGTCGTATTTTGATTGCCGGTTTCGAGCTATGTTTATTCTTATCTAGAAGAATATCAGTTATTTATCCATCAGGAATTTGTACCAAGAACCCATATTTCTCCAAAATACTTTGCGGAAATAAATGTTATACAAAAGATTTGCAACTACTCTAGAGTCTGAACTGATGTATCCGATATTTTCGAATCTAAATAGTTAGTATTCAAAAATCAATTCCTCAGCATGTTGGCACCTAAAGGTTCTCCTACAAAATTTCCCTAACAGCCGTACTGAGGCCAATTTTTAGATTCATAGGCATAGCCGTTACCTGATCAGTGATAGTATCTTGGAACTGGCCGATAGTCATCTGCAAGACATCAGCATACCCGTTGGCAACCGCCGACACCCGAACCGGACGCGGTTCCGTACCGTCCAGCTGACCGAATATACAGCCCTGTTCAAATTGTAAAAACAAACAAAAATGATCTCAAATATTTTATATCCAAACTGCTACTATAACAACCCGTCATGAGAAAGCAAATAGAATATGCATTAAGACAAAGTGGATAAACAACAGTGGTAAAAAGAAGCAGCGCAAGAAATACATTCACGATTGACTGAGCCTATTTCAAAGATTAACTTTGTCATCTTTGTAAGGATGTATCATCAGAAATGGTCGCTGTTGACTGGTCGGTGGTGTTGAACTAGTAAGATGGTCTTATAACCTGTGAAATCAGTAAAATCAGCACTTATAAATAAACGAGTACTAAATACTTATTTGATACAATTTCTGTAAATTATTCTAATGCTTACTTTAGTCAGTTCAGCCAACGTCTTCCCATCCTTACTGATGGTGACCTTTCCTCTATGCACCACAAAGACGTAAGGCAGCAGATCCATCTCCCTCATAATCTCCTCGCCTGGTCGCAGGTACGTTTGCAGGCCAGCGCTGGACAGCTGCCTTTCCAGGGGTTCACCTCCACGGAGTAACGTGTCTAAGGCTTTGAAGGTTCTAGAAAGAATATATTTTTATAACGACGTACCTATTACAGCAGTGGTATTTACATGAAAGTTCGCTATATTAACTAAAGAACATCCAGCTTGAGGAGTTTGTTAAAATTCAACGTCTACCTATTGCCTATCGACAGATATTCTCGTAAGACAGGGAAAGATGAAACTAAAAAAAATACGTACTTTTTAAATAAATAGTAGCTCAAGTCTTGCCTGAACACTACATGACCGATGCGTTCATTCATCAGATGGTGTATATTTATACCTTTATTTCTGCAACAAAATTCAAGCAGTAAAATTACTACAAAGGTTGGTGTCCATCAGGGAACCAAATCAAGTCCCATTTTAGTATTAAGATATCAAGGTTCCATTAGCGCGGAGCACGGAGCTCTGAGACGAAGCGAAATTTATGAAGTAAAGGAATTCGGCGACCCAATTTACGTGAGACTTTAAATATTAGTCAAGGCACTCTAAAATACTAGAGGTAGAAACCATTTTCACGTTTATCCTCTGGTTCTGGAGCTAAGGGCTAAAAATTGCAATAGTAAAGGATTGCTAGCATCTTCTAAAAAAAAAATTATTTGACATTTAATTTTATAATATTGACAGACGTCCTGGCACTAGGCCTGAGATGATTATCTCAGTGTGCATAAGAGAGATACGAAATAGTGTCAAGGAGGACGAAATTGCATCTAATTAAGCCTAGGCGCAGACAGACATAGTGATCTATTTACATGTCATCATCCATCTGCCAATTTACTTTTAATAATCATAAAATAAATCACCTTATCCAGTAATATCCAAAATGAGCAACAGCATTATCAATAAGCTTCTGATCAACCCGTTCAGCACTCAAGAACTTCTGCAACTGACTGATACCGTGTTGGTAGAGTTTGTTCCCCCGCGCTGCCAGTATCAGAAGGGTTAACGAGTAGCACATGACGTACCTGCAACGGAGATATTTAGTATCGCACTAGTGTAGTAGAGGTGACGTTTGTCAGCCGGGCATTAGCTTGTGTAAGGCTTAGACATTATAGGCATGGCGCATTCGTAAGCTCTTGAGAGCGATGCAGGAGAGTGAATTTTCGTCAAAACTTCCAAAGTCAGTAAGACTTCAGATGTGCTCCAGACAAGTACCTACTGTTACAGCTTTGTTACGTTACATGACAACTTTCCCGCAACATTCGACTACCGCAGAAACACATTCAGCATGCAATATATCTGTGGTATGTTAATTGCGTATTACGTGGTATGTTACTACGTGGTACTGTTGTTACTTGCGGTTACTTGCGTAAAATTAATCAACATCATCATCATCCATCTATCCTTATAATAAGACCATATTCCATATCTGCAACAGTAATTTAGGCGGCTGTCCACATAACTTCTACCATACGAACAAAGATAAGTATCCGCCTGCAATCTACTTCAAAATATTTACGTCTATAAACGTTGGAAAGAGTGCGACTCACCAAAAGACAATGCCAAGGGTTACCAGTACGAGACCAACGCCGAGATTGCTCCGGTCTATATGGAACTTGCCGAGGTTCATCCTCATGAGAGCGCTCTGTGCCAGGTTCAGACTCTGAGCGAACAGCTGAAAATAATAATGAGATTAAAAATTAAATTCAATCAAAGTTTTAATGCAAAAACTTGTAGTAGCTTTGAATGGGGCAATGAAGTTGAAATAATATATTTTGCTATGTTTTAGAATTAACAAGAATTTGGGTAGGATTTAATATCGATATAATCGTCTCACAATATAATATACCTGTCTATAAGTCTATAATCGAGAACCGCTGTGACGCATTTCTCGTCACAATCACCAAGCATGACAAACAAGTTTTTAGAACGTGATAGTGGCCTTAAAATGACCATAAGTTTGAGTCAAAAGCTATTAAAAAAGCTCGATCAGCGCTACATTTGCTATTGCTCTTGTTTTACTTTGACCAACTTTCAAAATATTTTAGTATGCAATATTAAACTCTGCTACTAAAGACATACGATCCTCACCATGTGCAGCTGGTCCACTGTAGGATTTTCATCCAGCACCATGTAAGACGGCAGCCAGCATTCGTTGATGCGTTTCATAGACATAAGGTTGCCTTGGTCGTCAAATGTGAAGTCGATGCAATGGTTCATGAGGTAGTGGCTCCCACCTAGCATCACCAGAGCTATCATCAACTGCCACTTTATTATCTGGAAACAACTTTTAAAATTGATATTACGTCCTATAAAACATTGGTAACGTAAAACAAATACGATGCATGAAAGATACGTTTTTTAATCTAGAACTCAACTTGGCTACCAGTACTTACTGGCCCGTCCATTAACTGTCATCTCAATATGTTTTAGGTCAAAATATCTACGGTTTTCGATGTTTTTACATTTTCATATTGTTTATAATACAATATTATGGGAAACGGGCGTAAGTCATAGTAAATCAGGAACATAACATAATTTTGCACTATTATACCTAAATGAGAGTCAAGTCCAAAATTGGAAAGTTGCAAGAATTGTCTCTACTAGCTTAGTTCGTTCGTTCATTCGTTTCAGCCGAAAGACGTCCACTGCTGGACAAAGGCCTCCCCCAAGGATTTCCACAAAGACCGGTCCTGCGCCGCTCGCATCCAGGCACCTCCCGCAAACTTCACCAGATCGTCGGTCCACCTAGTGGGAGGCCTGCCCACTCTACGTCTTCCGGCTTCCGGTCTTCCGGGCTGGAAGACTAGCTTAGTATTCGTGCTAAAATTTGGTCTAGACTGGGCATGTTATATTATGCTTCCGCTTATCATCGTATTTCCAAACACCTATACCTAATGGTTATGTAACAAACAAAACATAAACAAATACAAACCAAAATATACACGGTATTCAAAGACGGCAGATCAGCTATATGGTTGAAGAACTCCATCAAAATATACAGATGTGCGAACTTGCAGAATGTATTCATGAACATGGCCTGGGTTTCGGTTATTTCATACGTGAGGATGATCTTAAAGAACTCTGACCAGGGAACTGCACCGACCACGTCCAGAAAAAAGCCCCTGGTCAAGTAATGTCGAATACACATGCGAGTGTCGTATATGAGAATCCCTTTTTCGTTGTAGTAAGATACCTAAAAGTAAAAAGTAATGCACTGAATATATGAGTATTTTTGGCTAACGAATAGGTACCGAGGAGATACACTCTCCTGGCCTGATTCCACCAGCCCCCTTCCATCACCGGGGAACCCGACGCAGGTTAGCGTACCAAATTCAAATCAACCAATTTGATGTCAAATTTCTGCCTTGTTATGCATTAAAAAAAAGTTGTGACATTGGCAATTTTTTGAACTTAATGACTACTAGCGAGCTCGTAACAGTGGGCGTTTTTTAATTCAAGTCTCGAGCTACCAGATGCGCGCTGTTGCTAGCTGAATAGGTTTCCAAAAATCGACAATGTCACAACACAACTCTCCTCTGTTTCTACAACTCCTCTTGGTCTCCCCTACATAGTGCAACAATTAACGAGAAATATATAAAAAATTACTTATTAAAAACTAAAATCTCTCTCTCCGCCGTCTTTCAATATAAATTGAATGTTTGATACAAAATAATATTATGCTACTTACTTACATATTATAATAGTTAACCATAGGTGAACTAACTCAGTCTAAAGTCTCCAGGCAGACTTCACATCAAAGGGATGGCTATAGCTAGACCTAGATAGTCTGCCTAGTGAAACGATAGCCTAAAGGACGTAGCACACTTATCAACCCGGAGAGGGATCGTAGCCGTATCAACTCGAGGCGGTCAGTAGTTTTTGTATGAAACTCCATAATGCAACGCACACTGATCCGCAACGTAACCAACGACTCGCCTTGCGATTGATAGCGCGCGTAAGGCGATGAGAGCTCGCGAAAACCGAAACGATGTTGATCCCTTTCCGAGTTGATAAGTCTGCTATGACCTTTAATCTTGAATATACTCCTGACTAGACAAAGTTATCGAGTTAAGTATTCAGACAGCGTTCTCCAAACTGAGTATAAGTATTTTAGCTTCGGGGATGATAGTAATACTTGATAAAATTAGCGTAAGCTGTCTTGAACATCGGTTTAGTAACTATTACTGAACTGAGCACACTATACTAATAGAATCTCAATTTGACACGTATTTTTGGAATTTGTAAGAGTATGTAGGTTAATTTGATTTTATTATTTATCTTAGCTCACAGATTCCATTTTAGATTTTCCTCGATACCAATATTTTACTGACATAATTAGGCATTGTAACAATCATAAATTAAAATGCCTTGATACTTTTATCAAGGAAAGGTAGAAAGACAATTGACTTGATTATGAATTTAGATCATTTATACTTACAAACATCTTCAATACAATATCAACAAAAGCAATGGCGTCGCAAAATGCACTTGTGATCATTAATTGTCTTCTATATGGCGCTCCACTGCCACCTGGAAGATGACGATAAACGGTGTTATAAATATCGACTCTGAACGTTATCAGCTCAAGAGTTGCACATCGTGCTATGGCTGAAATGATGATTATGATTTATGATGATCTGAACGTAATGTACCCATACAGCTACATGCCAGATGAAAGTAAAAGTATTAAAAAATATTACCTTGTAACGAAGTACTTGCAATTGACACTATGACTATAAAAGCTCGGAACATCATCCAGTAATACATCCAGCTAAAATTAAAACATTTTCTTATGTAAGAACTCATAAAGCGATAACACTTAGATATTATTAGTATATGTAGGTGTGTGTTGCCGGTGATGGTATACGGATCTGAGACGTGGTCCCTTACTATGGGCCTCATAAGAAGGCTCAAGGTCACCCAAAGAGCGATGGAGCGTGCTATGCTCGGAGTTTCCCTGCGCGATCGAATCAGAAATGAGGAGATCCGTAGGAGAACCAGAGTGACTGACATAACCCGCAGAATCGCTAAAATCAAGTGGCAGTGTCGTCACCCTGTATTTATTTAAACCCCACTACGTGACTCTACGCAACTTATCTACTTACTCAGAATCGGGATCCAGCCAGCTGTCAAAATCAAAAGCCGTCAAAGGCGTCCACTCATCACTTTCAACAACAGATTTTCGTCTATCCGTGTTTGGTAGCGACGACGCTCTAGCAAGAAATATTCTTTTGCGAAGTTTCTTTTGATACTGCCAATTAAAAAAGAGAGTTAGAAAGGAAATTTAAGAGTCCTAATATCAATGGTGAGAATAATATACAATGGTCATAATATTTTGTGAATCACTATCTGTCACATTCATAAGATCAAAAAATAATCATTTAGTGATGAGCATAATTGATTATGACGTATATTTTCCATATGTATAAAGACTTCTTACGTCTCTATGCTTTTTCACATACGCTTCGAACATTTCTTCAAATAAGGGCCCAAATTCTTTAATGCAATTCTGAAAGTAGCTCCACTCGTTCGGATATCGTTTGATAATATTGAAGAAATCTTGTATCAGAATGTATATCAACTGGAAAATCATGTCGAGTTTTATTGAAATAATATTAGAAGAAACTCATGTACAAAAATAAGGCCCAGAACAGACGGTGAAACGCTATTGCAACGAAACTGCAAATATTTGATGATTCTGATGAATGAAACTGAAACTGAAAGTTACAAACTGGTCGCGTCATGTGTGGTCTCTCAACGGACGCTATGGCAGAAACTTAGATGCAACTCAAAAGTAACTAGCGGGTGCAGTTTCGTTGTAGTTGCGTTTCACCGGCTGTTCTGGGCCTTACTGTTTCAAGTTTAAAAATTACTTACCTCGCATTCTGTACAAGAGGCGTAAGTCCTTAAAGAAGGTTTACGTAACAAAACTGCGCTCACAGAAACCATTTTACCAGGTTCGTAATATGATCTTAGCAGTTCGCCTTTTTCATTGTGATACTCGCATTTTATATGACCCTAAAATACAAAAATGTTTGTGGTGTATCATTCTTTGGAACCAAACTTGTTATAATGCTATAGGCAAATTAGCTCCAGAGAGGTAAGAAACATAAATTCTGACCTCTCCATGATCTTTTGAGAGGTATGTCTTCAAGACAGGAAGGAATAGAACTTGACTCTGAAATACGTGTTGCCGATAAGATACAATATCTTACTTGCACAATCCAAGTGACATTTCTACATTGCACCCCAAAAAGGAACAAAGTAGCGTTTTTGGGCATAATCAAATATTTTGCAGCATAAGCTAACTCCCTCACCAACAACGGGTCTGCTCCTGCAAACGCTTGGGAGTTGCTTATAATCCGTTCAGCCACCTCACCATGCACCTTCCAGTAGATGTCAAATGGTTCATTCTTCATTATATGAGGATGCATAACGTCAGCCCCATGGTAATATTTCCATTGACACACCAAATATCTATCCAGACGTTTCATAAGAGCATGATGAATTTTGTGGTGATTGTAATATGACTTCAAATTCGTCACAAACCATTGATAGTTCGTAACCTCTCTGAACTTCAGATACAAATAAGCAATGAACCTGGCTTTTGTTATCATGTATATTATAAATCCGATGTAATTTATCACGGCACCAAAGTAAATGTCAGTCAAAGATAACGGAGGAAATTCAAAAAATAATAGTTCATAAGCATACCCGATAGCTACTCCCAAAAACTGACTTTCAAGGTCGCATTTCACCGTTTGGTTTCCTTCATTGCAATACTTTTCACCAAAGAAATAAGATGTTGTCATTTCTGGCATGTATCTATCCGCGACGTATATAACGTACGCAATAATGTAGAAATAACAAAAATTCGTCAATATAACTTTGTAGCAAACGTTAAGAAGCAATTCTCTGTCTAAGCTCCACTCATTTACGTAGTCACTGGCGAACAATATGTATACTTTGAGAAGGCGATTGAATTGGAATATGTAATAGTATTCTGGCTTACCAGCCAAAATCGCCAAAACTTCAATCCACACAGTGGCAAAAATATCCATAACGAATCGGGCACTTTTGCATCGAGTGAACATAACAGCAGCGAAATTATCAGACAAGTTGTCTCTCTTGGTCGAAGTCAGAAGGGAAATGCCAATATCTGCAATATAAACAAAGTCAACCCAGCACTTTACAAACATAAACGATTTTAGAACTTTCTTCCGCGTGATATTTGGTGGGTACATGATCAGTGCAAGAAACACCGTGAACATAACAATGTTCTTCCAGACTCGAACAAAAGTGGAGTTAGGTGTTAATATCCAAGGGAAATTCGTGTTATTAAATAAACTCTTTTTGTGTAGCTGTATTTCGCTACATAAAACAAGTTGTCCGATGTATTTAGCACAATGGTATACGGCTTCTTCTGGGGGCAGTTCGCATCTACCTCCGGTTTTCTTCTTCCAACTGGCAACTGTATCTGATATTTCCCACCAGCGCCTCTTAATCCACGCTATACCCTCGTCTTCCGCTCTATCAAGTCCCCTCACGTGTTGTTTACAGGTATAAAGCGTGCGTGCATGTTTTATTCTATCTTTGACCGATTCTAAAATATTCTTTCGGTCTGCTGGGAATTTCTGCAAAGCTTTTAATAAATCATATCGAGATACCATGAAAACTTCGCAATACGTTACGCAACGCACAACTAAATTCCTTTTCAGAGGTGGTACCAAGAAACTGACATCTCCAAAAATTGTGCCGTCGCTCAAAGAAAGCAAAGGTGTCACACCATCGTCAGCTGATACCAGTTCTACAATACCAGATTTTAAATAGTACAGGTTGGTGTGGCAATGAGGTCCAGCAAAGAATTTTTCCCCAGGTAGCTTATAGTCCAGGCTAATACATTCACAAAGCCATCTTTTGAAGGGTGTGGACGTTTTTCTTAGTGTGGGGCTATGATAAAACACAGGCCAAACTAAATCTTGCCTGATATCAAGCCGCAAGTATCTAGGTAATTCGCCAATGATTTCAGGAATGCTGGTGATCCCTCTTCTTTTCCTCCACATTAGACTATAGAAACTGCTCACATTTTGATAAGCTACAGGTGAAGGGTTTCGCCTTTTGGTTTCTTCTGTAATTTTTTTCACGGTTGGTTGAAATGTGCATATTCTTCGCAAATTCAAAATGGATTCTGCGAACATCTTCGGCATTACCACAAAAATGTCTACAACGTAGCTGATGATCATAAAACTGCTTACTAAGCAGAATTCCAAAATAGTAGAAGGTTTAGTTTCGTCAAATAAGCAATTAACAACAAATCCCATAACAAATGATGTTCCATACACATACGTTGTAAATCCTTCGTCGGTTTCGTTCATCTGTGAAAAAGTATCAGCTAATTTTAACCTACATCAAAGCTTGTCTGGTAGTTTTGCAGATAATATATCGTACAAAACGACATTTACTGTAATGCTCAATTCTTACCTTGTGAACCACATATTTTCTCCAGTCGTAAATTTTGTTTCTACAATTGGCACAAAGACCGTGCACCGTTAGTAACACAAGAAAACACCCCACGCAGTTGACGCATATCATTATAAATACTGTGAATCCAATCGTCAACTTTATTATCGAATGGGTTGAAACCACGGAGAAATGTTCCACTACTCGGTATATGCTGTAAAATTAAACAACTTGCAATAGTGCCGAAATATCGGAAACTCAAAATTAAGGTACATGGTGACAATCCCGCGAGTAATAATAATTTTGTAAAATTAAAGATATGAATTTTGCAAGAATCAAATTATTTAGTCTCAATTCGTTTTAAATAACGACTTGTCAGGTGTGAAATAAAATCATAAAGCGCTCTCTTAAAAAAACTTACACAATAAATTCAGAGAAGGCCAATATGTTTGGCCACAGCTGAACTGGTGGGCAAAGGTCGTAAGTTGACAGAGTATAAAACGGTACCAAAGCGATCACATCGAGTAACAACAGAAAAGCAGATTTAGGTAGGTGCTCCCTTCTCATAGCCTTGTCCGTTACTTGCCTGGAAACATTGAAAACCTGATATTATTTTGGCAATAAATACAAACTAAACATAGACTATTTATTATATCTTTATCCATCATTTAAGGGAATAGCAAAAGATATTCCAGTACTTTTAACAGTAGGTACTTATCCATTTTTTAATTCTGATATATTATTTAAAAAATCTAATAAATACCTGTGCACAATATGAAAGAATGTATCAGCAAAGTATATTATATCGCAGAAGTACCAGTAAAAGTACTTAACAAAAGTCAGGTAAATGTATTGATCCATTATTGGGGAACAGTGAGTAATGGAGTAGACCGACCGAACTGGACCCTGAAATAAATAATGTTCCATGTATAGTCTTACTGCTTGTTTGTCAAATGCGCAAGAGTTCAAAACATATTATGCATGCGCTACTAATACAGCATATCTAAGAAAAGGGACGTTAAGGCTTTGGTCAAGTAAAGAGTTAAAGATAATGATTGCTCAGTGATAATTAATTGAGTTTTTTTTTGTTTAGAGTTAAGTTTGCTTTAGTTTCCGAATTGACATTTTTCTAGCAATAAACTCACTCCTCAGCACAAAAATTTACTCCTCATAGTACTAAAATGATGATGCGGTGCACTGAAATATGGTTTTCCATCTCGTACTTATCGGTTTTTCCGATCAATGAATGATTCGTTCGTTTCAGCCGAAAGATGTCCACTGCTGGACAAAGGCCTCCCCCAAGGATTTCCAAAAAGACCGGTCCTGCGCCGCTTGCATCCAGGTACCTCCCGCGACCTTCACCAGATCGTCGGTCCACCTAGTGGGAGACCTGCCCACGCTACGTACCCGGTGATTGACGAATTGTTAATGAATAATGAATGATTAATTGATCTATAAGTTATCTATGATACAATAGTTAGACTATATTCTGGTTTAGGCCTAGGCGCAGACCACCGACTTTTAGTTGGTCGATAGTTGGGCCCGATTCTAATTTGTATGAAAAATCGGCCGATACCAAATCGGTGTAATTTGCGCACTTTCATACATGCCCATACTGATCAACTGCCCGACTAAACTATCGGCCAACTCAAAATCGGTGGTCTGCGCCTAGGCTGTACATATTATATTATTCTAGGTCAAGCAAGTTCATAATGTTTAATCATAGTTCATAGTCATCATCAAAGATTAGTTCTATACCCATTTCCCTATTGAAGGTCACTTGGCCTGAAGCGTTATACAGATTACACGTGGAGCATGTTGGAGCAGATGGTATATCATATTAAAACATAACACAATTATATTAATTTACTCGCCTAACAACCTATCCATCCCACTCACAGGGAGTGTTAATTCACTAACTAAATTTAAACAAATTAGTGATCCAAAACTACAAAATACAACGTCGAGCTAACTGCGCACCTGGCAACCGTGACGTCACATCGACGCTCTAGTACGGTACGGATGGTACGGACTAGGGCATGCAAAAACCGAGCGGTTTTAAAAAACCGGTTTTTTCGGTTTTTATTTTCTAAAACCGAACTAAACCGGTTTTTTCGGGTTTTTCGGGTCGACTGTTTGTAACTAAATAAAAATGCTGCAAATTATAATAAAAATCATTTTATTTCTTTTATATTCTAGTTTGACAAGATGAAGTTACATGTTCTGAACATAATATTGTGAGATCAATTGAATAGTTTAATTAAAAATCAAATATTAAGAGATCAACAATAGGATACTTCGCTCATTAGAAAAGCAAAACCTTTGGTCAGGACTTCTTGGCGGGAATCTGAAGCGTCATGTTAGCGGTTTTGTTTTATTTCCTGAAATTCGTGTGTGGGCGACTATTAATGTATAATAATGGTGGATTATTAACCATTGAGTGTTCGTGAACGTCCATGGGTGTGGGCAAGTGAAGCAAAACAGTGCATCGTGATTCTTCTGGTTCTCTCAAGTTGTCCATAGGAGGTCTCAGTAAAGCACCACAACTTTACTGAGACTCAAAGGGTGGGAAAGGGTATCATCTATCATCCTTCAAAGTCAAAGTCAAAAAGTCAAAGTCAAAATTTCTTTATTTGTTTAGACTAATAAATAGTTCTTACAAATCGTCATTTTGCTCTTAAGGAGCCTCTACAATACGGACGGAGTGAATGCGGGGAGGTGAGCGGGTAAGGGAGTGGAAGAGTCGCATTCCAGCGAAGTGCGCAGTTTGCTCGACCGAGCCGTATCCTTGTGCAAGACAAGGCAGGTATTTGACCGCAATCGCACCTGGTGTTAAGTGAGATGCAGTCTAGGATGGTACATAATCTGCCCTGTACTACCCGTTCGCGCTAAGTTTGCCGGTCCGTGAAATGCGCGTCCTCTCCCCCAACCGCGATTAAACGCAATATTAATGTGTCTTATTTTACGCAAATACACAATTTTTATCAATAATAATAAATAAAAATATTTTAAATACAGTTTGATAAAGTTAAAGACACTTTCCTTGAGTGACGTCATATCACCAGCGGCAAACTTAAAGCGAACGGATAGTAAGTGCCTATTCACTCTCGCCTTAAAAAGGCCCGGATTATTGTGTTCAGGAAAGACAGCAGCAGGCAGCGAATACCAGTCCCTAGCTGTTCACATTATAAAAGAGTTATCGAAACATTTAGTGCGAGCTGTGGGTCTAGACAAAGTGCAAATTATAATCGCATACCAGTCGAAAAGTGGTCGAAAAGCCCCTTTTTTGAATGGAGTTTTGACGGATTCGATTTTCGATTCGATCAAAAAGTGCGTTTTGTCTAGGGGGGCTGGTGGAATGTCGACAATGTAGTGTACAATATTTCGTACCAAAATACTCTTGGCTATCACGCTGACCAGCACAAACATCTTGAAGACTGGGTTGAAAGGCAGGAAGATCACGTCACTCCAACAAATCTGCGACTCCTCATCATCTTCATCATCATCGTCATCGTGTTCTGTATTACTATGCGTATGCGTGGCCATGATTATACGTTAAATACAATCTAAAATATTATTTAAATACGCTAGAACAAATTAATTATTTACTCTCACAATTTCTTTTCCAATAAAAATTGTCATTATGAATGACAAGTAAACACATACAACGGCTTTCTATTCTGCCAGAATGCCTGAGCAGAATGCAAGAAGTTCTAACATATTTTTACTCAACTACAGAAATATTTTCTAAGCTTCCTGGATGAATAAATAAATAAGCCCCTAGATTTATATTGTATGCAATATGATGTAACTTTCTACAATCCAGTACAAGTAAATGATGGACATACTTCTTACCAATTATATTTGAATTCGATTCAAGATCGCTTCCCTACATTCACAGCTGGTTACCATCAATATAGTACTTTGCCTATACATACAAGAAGATACGTACCCATTTCCAAAAATGAATAAAAAAAATCCATAACGATCCATAAACATTGTCTAACTAAAATTTTATAGCTATAATGCCCTTTTTAAGAATTTTGTATAAAGTAGGTATCTTTTTACTACAATCTCTATAAATAACATCAGATGCCAAAAAGTAATAATAAAACGAAACACAAATTATTTAAACCTTTATTTTAAAGTGAGGAAATTGCAAATGACCATATTCATTTTATAGGGGAAAAGCCAGAAAAAAGTTAATTAAGTTCCTTTCGGCTCGGAAAGCAGTTTTCGCCTTTTGTTCCTCAAACCAATTTAGCTTTGAGAAAAATGAAACCTATTTCTTGAGAGGCGTTTCGTTTAAATATTTTGAACCAGTAAATCTGCATTTTGAAAATCTTGATAACTATTTATAAAGAAAAGATGCATTTGAGCACATCATTTTAGATACACGATGATAGGATTTACGTAGTGTGAGCAGGCAGTCGGTCCACCTAGTGGGAGACTAGGTGGACCGACGATCTGGTGAAGGTGGTGGAAGAAGGCGGGAGGTGCCTGGATGGACGAATGAGAATTTACGTCGTCGTCGTCGTCGTCGTCGTTTCAGCCGAAAGACGTCCACTGCTGGACAAAGGCCTCCCCCAAGGATTTCCACAAAGACCGGTCCTGCGCCGCTTGCATCNTTTATGTTCCTGGTCAGGCTATACCATCAATATACTTTGCCTATACATACTTACTCGTACAAGAAGATATTTCCAAAATAATAAATAGAAATACATAACGAGTGAAACATTGTCTAATCACAGAATAATAATAAGTACTAACTAAAATTTTATACGCTATACTGCTCTTTTTAAGAATTTTTTATTAAGTAGGTATCTTTTTACTATAATCTCTATAAATAAAATCAGATGCTAGAAGGTAATAATATGAAACAAAAAACAAATTATTTAAACCTTTATTTTAAAGTGAGGAAATTGCAAATGACCATATTCATTTTATAGGGGAAAAGCCAGAAAAAAGTTAATTAAGTTCCTTTCGGCGCGGAAAGCAGTTTTCGCCTTTTGTTCCTCAAACCAATTAAGCTTTGAGAAAAATGAAACCTATTTCTTGAGAGACGTTTCGTTTAAATATTTTGAATTAGTAAATCTGCATTTTGAAAATCTTGATAACTATTTATAAGAAAAGATGCATTTGAGCACATCATTTTAGATACACGATGATAGGATTTACGTAGTGTGAGCAGGCCTCCCACTAGGTGGACCGACGATCTGGTGAAGGTGGTGGAAGAAGGCGGGAGGTGCCTGGATGCGGGCGGCGCAGGACCGGCCTTTGTGGAAAACCTTGGGGGAGGCCTTTGTCCAGCAGTGGACGTCTTTCGGCTGAAACGAATGAGAATTTACGTACTATAACTTATTTAAGTATTCATTACTAAGATCTTGATCAAAAACATAACTCTCTTTCTTGAACAGTCGGGTAAAAAGCATGATTAAACTGTTGGTTGAGCTTGGAAGCAATAAATGAATATTTCAATTACTTAGTATAAATATTATTATGGAATTGTATTTCCTAATACAAACAGTGTGCAAAACATTAATCAATCATCATTATTATTTCATGACCGCATTTATAATTTAGGTAGAAAATTATTACAATAAACACGCTAAATTAGATGAAACACGTCGCGTTGCTTGGACAGCGATTTGGGACATATTTTTTATTTGTAAATATTTGTAAATATTTAGTCTATGTAGGTTCATTATTTGTATTATTCTTAATTAATCAGCAACATCCAATAAAGGGTTTTAAAAATAATGATGAAACACATTTTCATTATAATCAAAATCTAATGCTCCTTTTAACTGACTGCGCCAGATTATTCAAATTCTCATTCAAAAACTTGAGTTTCACTAGAGTATAATTATGTACTAATTTACATTGCAAGATGACGATATTAGATAACTAAGCAAACTTGAATTTCCTAGTATTTTCTTAATATTATTTAAGTAGGTGTTTGAATATGCTGTTCATCGAAGACTTGAGCTTGGTTGAACTAACACTATTCACTCCATCATGCCCTCGCATCTGAACTAACTTTACACGATCCACCGAAACTATCCGAAAACAGGAATGCATTCTTAACAAGGGTTCTGTACCCTGAGCACGAAAAGCTGTCATAATCAATAGCAATCGCATTCCTTATACAACCTTAGCTGTTTTGTTTTTCATGACAAAAGAACCCTGCTATAATTCTAATTTTATTCGTGCTCCGGGCACTAGCTAAAGCGTGATTTGCTAAACGCGCGTCAGACAGAGCTCTCGTAATGAGCACTAATGCTTCCCTCATTTAATTAAGATAATGTGCCCTTTTGAGGCAAGAGTAAAAGGGATGCGGGCGAATGCGTTTTTCAAATTCTCTTGCTCATTCTGTGTGCAGGCTTTTGGGATATGTTTGTAACTTTCCGCTTTTCAAAAAGAACTAGTGCTTAAAAGAACTTGTATTTCGAAACCACAAAGTTCGTGAACTCTACCTTTATTTTTTACCTCAAGACACAGTGAAACATTTTCTAAAACTAAACAGCTTCGCTACTTAGATTATCAAAAGCAAAAACAAAATTTACAATCACAATTATTTACTTTAACGTGGAATCTAAAAGCACTTCGTGGACTTGCAAATGTTCAGGAGTATTCAAAATCAGCTTCACTAATTTTGCAACGTCTCGAATCTTCAATTTCGGCTCATCCGGAGAATGTTCGGCTTCACTTTCAATACTGCCACATGCAATATTGGTTACTTTAATATTTGCCTCCAAATATCTGAATTCATGTCTCAGTATTTCGTTTACAGAAGTGATAGCCGCCTTCGATGCTATGAAGACGTTTTTCTTAGAATCCTCTGGAATTTGATAAGCACACAAATCATTGATGTTTATAATATGACCTCTGGTTTTTCTCTCAATCATAGAACCGGCTGCCAGTCTTGTGCATGCTATCAGAGCGTTAATGTTGATATCAACCACTTTTTTGAAGTCTCCCAAGTCTCCTGTACTTACTAAACAATCTATATTACAATATGCGTTGTTCACTAACACGTCCACTCCATCATAAGCTTCAATTATAGTATCGAAAGTTTCTCTCAGTTGTTTTAAATTAGTTATATCGCATTCACACAAGACAACTTTACCGTCTATAGGTGTGTTTGATAAGTCAGTTAGCTTCTTCTTTGTCTTATTTACGATGTCGTCACTTTTACCGAATCCAATGGCTATCATCCCGGACTTCGCCAATCGCTCTAAAACGTTAATACCAACTTCGTCACTACAATCAGTAACCACGACTACTTTGTTAGCCCAACACTTCATACTGCTGTGTACTCGTATACCTACGTAGCTCTTGCTTGCTAGGATGAACGTAACGTACTAGAACTGTTCGTAGCTCTATCGCTAATATACTTAGAACTATGGTACGTCATCGTTATTTAAGATCAATATCAAGAGGAGATCAAGATTCTGTAGGTAATTGGTTTCAAAAAGTGTTTGTGATCTTGGATTAATGATCATTTATTTTAAATTTTATTATAGGGTTGTATTTAATTGCATACAAAAAAAGATTGAAAAATAAATATTTTAATTAGTAGATACAAGAAAATATAAACAATATTATTATAATTGATATTACCTATGTGAATACTTTGTAACCTAAAAACAATCATCGATATCGTAAAACGTAGCAGTTACCGTGGTCGTTTTACGATCCCGTAGAGTTTTGATCTCAAGATTTATAGATACCAATGGATAAAACGTTTTATTGCTTCCAATCAAATAAAACATCTTGCAATTCAGTTTCAGGATTACAAGCTTCGGGATAATAAAAATATGTTCAGCTTTACGGAAAAATACAATGTTTTGTTGTTCTCCTTCAATATCCTACTGTACTTATTGTGTGATTTATTATCGACGTGTAAGTTTCCGAACGTGTGCAACTTGTTTAATAAATTAATAGATTTCATGCAATGCATGAAAAATTACTTCATTGACCTGAATACTACGCGGTGCAGACAATATCATTAAAACCACGTTAGAGACATCTTTGGTCGTTAAATGCGGGTTCTTATTAAAGAACTCTTCATTAAGGAATTCAATCCCCGCCGTCTTAAATATTCCAGTCCGGACAATGCCCGGAGAAACGCTGGTAACCTTGATCTTACGGTTCAGGTGTTTGAATTCATTTTTGAGTAGCGTGTTCAGAACGGTCATAGTCCTCTTTGAAGCGATGTACATATTGATCTTCGGTTCTGCAAACGGGGGCATGTAGTGTCCACATATACTATTGATATTGATTATCTGACCAGCTGTGTCTTTCTTAGTCATCGATTCGATCGCGAACTTTGTGCAAGCAATCAACCCGTAAATATTAACATCAGTCACTTTCTGCAGATCTTCTATGTTCCCAGTGCTTATCAAGCCTTCTTTTCCGATCGCAGCATTGTTTACCAACACATCAACTCCACCATAAGCAGCTACTATTCCTTCAAATGCGATCTTCAAATCTTCGTCATTCGATATGTCACATTGGCAAGGAATTAATTGCCCTTCAACTTTGCCCCAACTTTCTAGTTTGTCAAACATTTGGTTTACTCTCTCATTGGACGGCTCGAATCCAATAACAATCATTCCAATTCTGACTAAATCCTCAGTTATTTGCGCGCCAATACCATGACAAGCTCCAGTGACTACGGCCACTTTATTTTTCCAAAAATCCATTTTGTAGGCAGCTCAGTTGCAATAATTTATGATGGGAATGCAATAACTACCGGCTCTTATATAACTGGTTGAGCGGATTTATCATGACAATATTATTGTCTGCAAAACGGTTTTGATGGAATATAAATTGAGGATTCGCGTGCATTCAAATCGACGATCTGTATTGATGTTTAACCACAGTAATTGACCATTAATACCGATAATGTCTTTACTTATTTCCTGTTTACGAAACTATTCAAAACCATATTGCTACATGAGCAAATTAGTCATTTGATATTAAAGTAGATTAAAAACAAAATGATGTCGACAGATGAGGTAACTATTAATAAAGCAGTAGATAATATTGAAAGGTTCTCGTACACGCTTCGATTCCGTCGTATCTATGTTTAGGCGTAGGTAATATCTCATCGAGTGTAATGGAACGAGCATGAATCTATTTGCCCATTCGATAGAAGAGCGGGAAATAGCCCACTCTCTCCCAGGTTATTGGATCTAATCTATCGATTCCGACATCATTTTGTTTCGACATTGTACTTTGTTATTACTCGTAAATAACAAGCAGTTTATTGAAGTGCAAAGCAAATTCATTGCTTTGTAAGTACCTAACTAGTATTTAGATAGTTGTAAGTAAGATTGAACATATAATACCTACTTATTTTGTTTAATAACCTTTTGCTCTAAGTGTTGTTTAAAAATGCTTATTAATTTGAAAAAAAAAATGGTACAAAAGACTTAGAAAACCCCTATTTTATTACATACTAGCTGACCCGGCGAACTTTGTTCCGCCTTAATGGCAATAAATAAGCAGACTTTTTTTTAATTTCGAACGGGATAAAAAGTATCCTATGTCCTTCTCCTGGCTCTAAACTACCTCCCTGACAATTTTCAGCTAAATCGGTTCAGCCGTTCTTGAGTTATAAGTGGAGTAACTAACACGACTTTCTTTTTTATATGTTACAGGAAATGTATGAATTCTAGGAATTGTATACTATTCCTAGGAAATGTATACAATTCCAAAGCTATTTAGGAAATGTATGAAATATTGCTTCAGAGATTTTTTAATACGCACATATCCTAGGACATGTATACTTTTCCTAGGAATTTTATAGAATTCCAATATTGTATTAGGAAATGTATAAAACTAAGCGGCACAAGCGCGGTCGTGTGATCGGATGCCCCTCAGTACGCCTAAAATTTCATTTAGACAAACCACATCGACCGATAGGTACTTTTAACTCACAACTATTATTGTTTACCCTGAAAGTTGTTTCCGCACTATTATACTTTGGCTGAAAAAAAATTTGCCTATTGGCATACCTTTCTTTCGGCATCACGCATATTACGCTGAAGTATTGGAAAACCCTAATTTTAACATCTCTTTTGTTAAACTATTATTGACATGAAGGTTTTAGTACTCCTGTAGCTGGATAACAAAGTCTCGGTTAGGTTAGGTTAGACTTGCGACCCTACACATACACAGCGGCCGCGGCGCGGTAGCGCCATTTAAGTTTCGGAGAAAAAAAAAGAAATCTTAATTACATTTCCGATTGCTGTTTAGGAAATGTGTAAATTTCCTAGGAAATGTGTCTAATATAATTTACATCACACATTTCCGGGTGATTTTAGGACTTATACACAAATCCTAGGAATTGTATACAATGACGGATTTCATACATTTCCTGTAACATATATATAGATTAACTGCAGTTTTTGTACCAAATATTTGCAAAAAATAACGATCACTGTCCTCAAAGTAGAATAATTCAATTAGGCAAGGTAAGGTATGTTGTCAACTCACGAGATAGGAAAGTTGTTAAAACTGGTATTCTGAATCCAAACTCAAAATCCGTGCATGGATTTGTTTTATTTAGTAAATCACAGAAAAAAAATTCAAATAGACTTAATACGGGCCTAAATGAATGCTCGATACAATATTTAAACCGCGGCACGCCATCATAAATTAAAGGCATCGTCAGCAGCAACACGGCAATACCATTCATCTCAAAATCTGTGGGATCGGCGCAAAATAAATCGATTCCCGATTTTTTGCACTATAGAAGTTCGTCCAATCAGTCGCAACGCCATTATGTCATATGGGTAATAGGGCGCGCGAACGTATTACCCCCTGAATGGTTGCACTTGGGCAAATAGCTCGATCTCTCACGGCTGATTGCCCGCGAGTTATGGAGGATTCGTGAAATATGCCGCGCCCGGAACGCTGCGGATATGATTTGAGCGCTCCTTGAGTGGTCTTGTTATTCTGTCGGCTCCTTTTCGACGTTTCACCGGAGGTGAGCTCCATTACGTCACGGGGGAGTTTGAAGAAATACAAAAATATTGGTGTTTTGGAGATGACTTCTTAGACCTGTGCTGAATCTTTATATTAATAAAGCACTACCTGAAACTACTTAGATAAAGAAAAAATAAATAAATAAGTAGCGTAGGTACTAAAACTTTTTAAAAGAGTCTCTATCAGGATTTAGATTTACTTTGTAGACTAAAGTTTTTCTTTCTCTGTCATTACTTAGGTATTATTATAGTCTAACCTAACAGTAGTCGAGTCCATGAGTCAATATTACCTTACCTAATTAACTACTTCATAAAATTGGCGATACCTGAAATCCTTACAGATCTACCTGCTAATCCAAACTAACAAAAACCTCCAAAAGATTTTTAAACAGACTCCTCCAGTTCACACGGCCCGTTACACATTCGCCCACCCAATTAATCTTACTTCAGAAAACACCAAAGAAGGCAATTACAAACTCTAGGCATGATGGCACGAAAGTCTACATGAGTGGACCAATTAAAGACCGGTCAGACGGGAGCAGCCTGACCCTCATATTGCGGCCACATTTCATTACATTTGCGGCAAATTCTCTTATTACTTTTATGAAGCTTCGTCCAGTGTTATTGCAGGGACTAAGGGAGGTGAGCTACGAATGGTTAATTCCTCTTTATGATAATGTAACGGCCGTATGAATATTCAAATGAAGAAGTCGATGGTCACATTTGGTGTTAGGGTTAATACGAGTATGTATAGGTGATAAAGTGGTAGGAATTATGAAATAATAATCGAGGCTGACCAGTCTATTGAGATATGGTATAATACCTAAATTATTATTATCATCAAGGAAATAATGATCTGACAAAACATATTTTTTTAAATTACAGTTGCCTAGTAGCCACTCTCTACCTAAGTTTTATTTACATTAGGAATTGTCTTCAACAAAAATGTATGGTAGATATGATACTTACCTATTGTCCAGCATGACGACTTACCTATCTTAATCCATAAGAAGTAAAACCAATTAAAGTCCGGTCAGACGGGAGCAGCCTGACCCTCATATTGCGGCCACATTTCATTACATTTGCGGCAAATTCTCTTATTACTTTTATGAAGCTTCGTCCAGTGTTATTGCAGGGACTAAGGGAGGTGAGCTACGAATGGTTAATTCCTCTTTATGATAATGTAACGGCCGTATGAATATTCAAATGAAGAAGTCGATGGTCACATTTGGTGTTAGGGTTAATACGAGTATGTATAGGTGATAAAGTGGTAGGAATTATGAAATAATAATCGAGGCTGACCAGTCTATTGAGATATGGTATAATACCTAAATTATTATTATCATCAAGGAAATAATGATCTGACAAAACATATATTTTTTAAATTACAGTTGCCTAGTTGCCACTCTCTACCTAAGTTTTATTTACATTAGGAATTGTCTTCAACAAAAATTTATGGTAGATATGATACTTACCTATTGTCCAGCATGACGACTTACCTATCTTAATCCATAAGAAGTAAAATATTTGCCCTATGTGGACTAAACGGACTCCCAAATAATAAAGGTCAGACACTGACTGACCAGACTGTAAAATAAGCGAAATCAACATAAAGCTTGTAAAAATAAGCGGGTTGCATTTTCCCATTTTCGCTAGATTCCATACTAGAAAATGATGAAAAACCATAAGAAATATAATGAAAGAAATATTACAACTTCCTTACCAAAGCAACATAAATCAAAACTCTACCATTTTCCGAAGCCAATCCCTATTTATTCACAAGCGTCCTTAATGTCCATATCATAGAATAGATAAAATGAAACGTTTGCGTTTTATCACAATGGAAGTTTATTCGAAAAGTCCACGAATGCGAACGAATTGCGATGTAATATCATAAGATATAGAAAAACATAAGCTCAAATCAATAAACTCATAAGTGCGCTAGGGGCATAAAGATATGAATTCATTTCTTCGTATAATCGTCCACTTTCTCATGATGTTTTTATTGGTAAGGGGCTATGCAATAAAAATATTACAAATATGTAGCAAGCAAAGCAAGACTTATTATTAGATCGCAGACAACGCATATAAACAACTCTAATAAGTTGAAATACCTTTAAAAATATTGCGACTAAAGGTAATATTTAGCTACATAAAACAAAGTAGTAAATAAATAAATCGACCGTTCAAAAAGTAGTATGTACCTATTATGTTTATTCATTCCCGCGAACTACGAGTATATCGAAGCCTACTTAAGTAGTTTGTAAATGAACCAGCTCTCTTTAAGTATTTACTCTTTTACATAATATCGCAAGTCTAGAGTTTAATATTCAAACGTTTATTACCAGCAAAGGGATGATATGTAGAAGCCGAGGCAGCCTAGATATATTAAGCCTGGGCTAATAAAAACTTGATGTTCTCGTATGAGGGCTGGCTGGACGGAAATAAAGTGGATATTAGTATTTTTCCCATAGCGAAGATTGCCCTTTTCAGTTGGTCTAAAACGTAAATCGTACCAAGATTTTACGCAGAAAATTGTTATTTTCGCAATTTTTATTTGCTTTTACGTTAAGCTCAAGGGGTGATGGATCTATCGATCCCAGACTAGCAATACCTAGTCCATACAGTGTGTCTCTATTTAAAAATCGCAAAATATTTCACATCGCAATAAAATAATGGTGTGTCCCTTTCAAGCTCTGTCCATCTTGAAA